CAGCAGGTGGGCATTGGCAGCTGCCTTGGCTTGCAAGTTCTTTGCCTTGGCAATGTTGAAGAGGATGTTCATGATGTTGGTAGGCACGTCAAGGGACAGAGTGAACTTGGTATGCCGATCACTCTTGACCTTGTCCTGGTCCAGCTTCCCCCTAAGCTGGGACAGGTATTTGTATCGGGCACTGCCAGCCCCACCTCCACCCCTGGAGCCAGGGAAAGTCCTTCTCTCCTTGTCCTTCCTCTCCTCCTTCTCCTCCGCCTCCTCTTCTTCTCCTGAAGATGGGTCTTGGACAGGCAGATAGTGGAAGCTCCTCTTGCTCATCAGGAGCGCATCTTCTGGAGGGCCCTTCTTGACCTCAGACAGGGCTGTGTTGAGGCAACTAAAGAGAGGCTTGGCTTTGTAGTAATGGTGAGAGAGGCCTGTGCTTGGGCCCCCAAGGAGCAGCAGCAACAGCAGGAAGTGGACTGGCACCAACATCTCTCCCTGTAGTAGAAATAAGGGGAGTGAGAAGGGCTGTGAGAGGGTCCTAGGGCTCAGAAGTCATGGCTAGCTTCCAGTAGCTAGTTAATGTCCTATTAGAAGGATTCTCAAAGTGGGGTCCCCAGGCCAGCAACCTAGGAATTAAAAAAAACTATGCCTAGTTATCTCTCTAAAGGAAGATCCAATAAATCCTTGCTATTTATATATTTATTGCTATGTGATGAGTGCACACACCAGAGAGATAGAGAGAAACAAAGTGAGAATTCACCTCTCCTCTCACCCCCCAGAGAGTGCCACAATTTCTTCTCTTCCAATCTCCTCTCAGGATTTTGGGCATGCATACACATGTGCCTGGTGTAATTTTCAAGTCACTAGGTCCAGGACTTGAACTGCACAGCTGGTCCTGTGGGATCTAGAGCCTCAACCTCCATTCTACCTACTGGCCAAAATTCCTGCTCTTTTTCTTATCCTGGAAACACACACACACACACACACACACACACACACACACACCCCTACCTATATACGCCTCAAACATGCACATACTTGTCATATGCACATGCATGTACACACAGAGGCATGCACACTTGTACACACACACACACACCCCTAACATACACACCTAACAGCCACACATTTACTTGGCAAGTTTCCTATAGAAAACTGTTACTTCCCTTGGCACTCCACATTGTAGTTGGTGCTTTCCTTTTCTTCGTTTTTTTTTTTCTAAGAAACAAAATTTTGTTTGTTCATTTGTTTTGCTTTACAATAATTGGGAGCTTATTTTGTCTAACAATATTTTTCATGCTATTTTATAAAAACAAATATGATCCTTGATTTAAATAATCCAAATGGGACTGGCCCTGTCAAGCACAGAAGTTAGGCACTGTGTAGAGGTAGCTGGATCTCACATGGCTGACCAGGGTTTGCGTCCAGGCCCTTGGCAGCTAAAATGCTGAATGTGTGTGCAAATCTCTTGGAACCTGACAGAAAGCAGAATTGGAGGAAAAGGATTGCAACATGACCAGACCCTTACAGACCCTTATCGGGGGTACTTTCTCTCTCCCCCCTCTCTCTTCTCTCGCTCTCTTTTTCACTCATGTACATCTCTGGCATAATAAAGGAAAAAAAATTAACAATCGAAATGTATGAAGTAGCCAGATTTGGGCATGTAGTGGCAATCAGTGAGAACAGCAGAAACTTTGGAGCTAGACAGACACAGGTTCAAATTTCATCTTCATTCACCTGAGGCCATCAGGCAGATTCCTTAACTTCTGGGGATGTCAGTTTCCTCATCTGGTAAATGAGATAACAATAATTTCCTCCAAAAAGTTAAGTGAATGATTAAACTTAAAATGCCAATGAATGAAAGGTCTTGGTCTAACTAGACACTTAATAAAGACTGATTCTAACACATTAATAATTTCTAGGTCCTATTAGGGGAAGATTTGGCCCACACACAACCTCTCCAGAATGTATTTTACAAACACCCATGCCCATACACATGCACACACACATACTTGTATACATATAGAACATATTAGTTCATATGCATATCCTAGATAATCTGATCTATTATTTTGATCTTATAGACTAATATTCTAGTTGTGTATCTGGCCTATAATTTTTAAAAATTATTTAATTTAATTTACTTATTATTATTATTTTTGAATTTGCTATAGGGCACATGCACTCACTAGACAGAAACAGAGAGAGAAAGAGAGGGAAAGTGAGAAAGCAATTTGCTAGGTCTGGGACTGCAACTGTGGTCAGCCATGTGGGAGTCTAGCACCTTAACCACCATGCCACTTGCTGACCCTCACTTGTAGTTTTATGAAATCTTTCTTCTTTCTTTCTTTCTTTCTTTCTTTCTTTCTTTCTTTCTTTCTTTCTTTCTTTCTTTCTTTCTTTCTTTCTTTCTTTCTTTCTTTCTTTCTTCTGTGTGTATGTGAGAGAGAGAGAGAGAAAGAGAGAGAGTGAGAGTGTCACCTCTAACACCTCTTCACACTTTGATTCACCTCCGGCCTCAGCCAGCCAGGGTCAAATTCATTAACTTACACTTGGTGTAAAACATTGCATTATCACTGTGGCTGGCCTCTGACCTAGGGTTTTGGCTAACGTACCACTTTTTTACCCCAATGTATGTAGGCTAGTTTTGCCTTTAACTTGGTCTAAGTAAGTACCCAAATTTAGAGTGCTTTAGGACCATGCAAAGGGAATGCACAGACTATGAGGTCCCAACCTGAGAGTTTCTGAGTTCATAGGTCTGGAATGTGGGTCTGAGAATTTGAATTTTAAACATGGTTCCAGGTGATACTGATACTGCGGGTTCGTGGGCCACATTTTGAAAACAGCTACTCTGTGTATTCCTACCAATCTCTGTTCTCCTTAGAACTATATGAGGAAGTTCCTCAAGAACATTTAATAAGGGTGGATTGACTGTCTATGGAAAAAAAAAACCTTATTTGGTCTTTTGAATTAATTTTTCTTATTTAATTTCTTTATTTTTTTAATTTAATTTTTTATTCTTTTTTTTTTCACATCCGATCACTATATTCATTTGGCTTGCAAAGAGAATTTATTCAACATGAAATACACCTCAGACCAGTCCAGCTGGGAATGCTATACATGTTATCATCAACAGGTTGTTGTTAAAGGGAGGGAGGGAGGGAGAGAGAGAGAGAGAGAGAGAGAGAGAGAAAGGGAGAAGGAAAGATGGGAAAGCACCCCCATGCCCCATGTGGTGTGGTTATACCACAGTCCTTTCTCCCTATTTCCTTTTGGGATTTTGGGAATGTATAAACACGTGCCTGGCATGTCTTTCAAGTAACCAGGTCTGGGACTCAAATCATGCAGTTGGCCATGTGGGATCCACCTTAATCATCATGCTACTGGCTGACCTAGCTGTATTGCATTTAATAACCAGACCTTTGGCTCTGTCATTTGCTGACGAGCCACTTAGTTGTTTCTGCATAGAGCATGCATCCTGGTTTTAGCTGCCTATGCCTTACAGTCATTTTAAAGTGTGAATGTTTTTTTAATCCTAAAAAGACTCAAAAAATAAAACAAATTCAGAAAGGATCAATACTGGTGGGAAAGTTGTAGAACAATTCTGTCTCTCTGTCACTCTATTCCTTTGTCCCCTTGTTCCTTTCACAGTCTAGACTCAGTCTTGACCTTTCTTCTAACCAGCTGATTTTTTTTATTTTAAATTGTTTTAGAGACAGATTTTTGCTATTAGGGGCATATGCACTAGCAGGAGAGCTAAAGAGACAGAAAGTGAGAAATCACCCCCTGGGAGGGATGGCCACACTCCAATGCCTCCTCCTCCATTTTCCTCTTAGAATTTTGGGCACTCATACACACTTGCCCAGCGTGAGTTTCAAGCAGCTGGGTCTGGGATTCAAATCCCAGTTGGACATATGGGAGTCCAGCACCTTAACTACTATGCCACTTGCTGGCCCTAACCAACTCAGCACCTTAACTACTATGCCACTTGTTGGCCCTAACCTACCGATCTTAACTGCCCTGGGTCTCAGTGTGTGCATCTGTGAGCCCTGGAGCCTGAGTTCAAGAATCTCTTTGTTTTGATTTCTTTGTTTATCTGCTTATGAAAGTAAGGGGCACCTCTACTAAAAGGACAGGAAGAGTGAAATGGCTTTTCTGTTTTCACCAGAAGAAAGTTGCCTGCATTGTAGGTGAGTGTAGGCTAAGACAAGAGAATTCTGAGGACAGCTCCAGAGCTTCCCTCAGCCCTTGCTCAGGACGGTGTGCTCATTCATCCTCATTTACATACAACTCTTCATGAGAATTGCAAATATTTCCAAGAACTTAGAATATGTTTTGTGTTCAGGTCCATCTTATGCTCTACCTACCTTTGCCCATACTGACTCCCTCTTGGTGTGAATAACACCTGAATTAGCTGCCTATGTGTTCCCAGTCCCTTAAAAACTCGGGACACTTTTGAGTATTGCATTTCTTTGGCATCTCTATTTCTGCTACAATATGGCACAACTTTCACTATGCAGAGATTTTTTTCCCTCAGATCATTTTGACTTTCAGGGGAGCCCCTTGGGAAGCTTGGGAAACACCAATACAGTCAACAGTGCCTTATAATAAATCATATTCTCAGCAAATATTTGCTGAATGAACTAGTGTTTAGTATTCAGCCACTTAATTAAACCAATTTATTTTTCAAGGCAAACAACCTCTTTTAAGTTCTCTTTTTAGGTGTATATACTTTTAGCAAATACACGTTATTACATAGTACGGAGGGAAAAAAATCCTTTAGAAGACATACATTTTTCTTTTGGATTTTCTCATTTATTTTGAAATCATGCATGTACATCTCCAGTCCCTGGAGAGTTTCTAGAAATGAAACAGCCTTGCCTTAATAAACTTTCTATAGTGTTCCTGGGAAAAGTTTCAGAAAGTTTTCCTTTGCAAGGGGCTAGCCTCTGGATAAGCCCCCTGGAAGTCTCGAATCTCATCTCTACAAAAGCAGTCCAGTGGGAGTGGGGAAGACAAGGTCCCTTTTAACTCTTCATTTACTTTCTCTGTGTGATTTTGAGGTCAACTTGAAAATACTATGACTAAAAAGATGGGTCACTTTACTACTTTTCAAATCCCAAGTCTCCCATCTGGGAAGAAATGGTATTAGTGGAAAGAGGATGCCAAGGGTGTTTAAACAATCTGTAAAATGGGTCTGGGAGCAAGTGTCCTACATGCTATTCAGTTCTGGGTACATTTGAAGTATCAGGCTTCCCCCTCCTCCCCATTTGCAAATTGTTAGTTCTAACATGGGAAAGGTTGTGGGGGATTTGGATGGCATCCTTTTATCCTCAGCATGGAAGCAAGGTTACAAAGCAAAGAGACTATGAATTGTGCATGATAGGGAAATCTTAGGCTGATGTTAGCTCTGGATCATCTAAAATAAAAGATTTTTGGCGATCCAGGATATTTTCACCATTAAAGTGAATGGATGGGGGCTGGGATACAGGTCCT